GCGGCGGTGGGATCGGTCGACGGCGGGCTTGGGCCATGGCGTTAGCCGCACAGTGCCGTATCTCGTCGCTCGTGGTGGATCTCGCCACTCTGGCCATCGTGGAAGAAGCTGGATCTGGGACAGCGGCCCTGTTAGGCTTGGCGATCGCGCCCTCGGCCAGCGACGTTCGCGACAGGGGGGTGTGGATGGAGTTGCCGGTGGATCTCCTCCACCCTGCAGGCTCTCTCCCACTGCACCTGGTGTCTTACGATCGCGGTCGTCGGCCTCGGTGCATTCGCGGGGGCTAGTAGAGGTGCCACCGGACCGGAGGAAACTCTGGATGACTCGTTCATCCCGACGGTGGCGACGACCAGGGTCACCGTTCTCCTCCTTGCAGGCGCCGTTGAGGTCCATGCCCTCCACCCTGACCCCATGCCCGGGTGAAAACCCAAAATCTCCTTAGATTGGGTAGCGGCGGCACTGCATGTGTTGTACCCTTCTTGGAGGCGCCGCCTGGGGCGTTTGGGTGCTCAGTTAGAGGAACTGCAGACAGAGGGGATGAGACCAGTGGCAACTGGTGGTGTTCACGACGGAGGGGCGGCGTGGCATCTGGCACGTCGATGACGGCGGGTCTCAGCGGAATGGAGCAGCGGGGTCTCGCCGGTGGGCGCGTGATGATGGACGAGCGTATTATGGTGGCGTTGTCTGGCGTTGTGGTTTTGTCGACATCAGTTAGACCGGGCAAGGTAGATGCAGCAGTACAACACTGAAGATGGAATGGTCGCAGGTGGCTGCGGCAGCCTCATACCCGGCAGGCGTCCTGGCTGAGGAGTGCGCCGGACTGGTGGGTGCCTCATACCCTGCAGGAGTCCTAGTTGGGACCTCTGGTCTTAAATGTTAGATTTGGCTGCGAGGTCTGTTTGGTATTAGGCCCAGACTATCAGCATCCCTTCATCAATTGGATAGGAGTAGCGACAGATGTCGTCTAGACGGTGGCTTTAGTCTTACTGTTGTATGACTTTGTAAGGTCTTGTGTGAATTATTAATAAACTGGCTGCATGCATCGTCCAGATGCAGAGCCGGGGTCCTCCTCCTTTTCTTAGAAAAACATCATGCACAAGCCACGTGTCAGCCAGCACGTCCTCCACGCGGCAACCTTCGCACAACATTCACAAAGGGAACAAACACTGCCTCTGCCTTCCTGGAGTCAGCACAGACTTTGCCGGCAGACCCTTCGGCAGCGACGAAGCACGTGGGACAGGGGAGACGGCCCTATAGGCGGCAGCTATGGTTCCCTGTGCCACCGAGGAGAGCATCCGACTTTAAATTAGTAAAGCCACAAACAGGTAACAATACAAAGTTCAAACACGGACATAGTAGGGTACCCGCAAATTGAATACGGAGAGGCTCAAATGAGGAGATTTTCTATGGGCAAAATAAAGTAAAGACTATTGTGGTGCGTAATAAGCTTCATTGATGTTGATGTAGTGCATAGTTCTAATCTTGCCCACCACCGCGCTCAACGTTGCATGTCATTTCCTTTTTCCCAAAGCCAACCTAATCTAAAGGAAACTAGATCAATGGGATGATTCGGAATAACACCTTCAATCACAAGCTCATACCGACAAATCCATAGTGCTCAAGAAAATGCCACAAATGCCCTCCAAGCAACTCTATGGTTTAGGTTGTGTAAACCATGAACTACTCTAGAGTTTCCTGAAGCTCACCCTAACACAACTCCAAAGGAATTTAGCCAGAACAAGACTCACTGTAAAAGTACCATACTAAAAGCTAATGAACCAACCGAACATAGACTCCAATGTTGTAACTTGATCCCACAGTACAGATTGGTATCCAACCAAAACCACATGTAAACTTATGTTATGGAATCTGATCGAGAAGTTTTTAATCCTGACTCATATTACTAGATTTTTAATTACTAAATATACAATGCATTTTCTGGATCATCACGATAGATCGAGATCGACCAAGCATGCACATGGTAGCTTAATTAATTTCCCTTCTATCCTTTATCGATCCATGTGTAAACAATGCATTGTAGTAGATCAAAGTGCTCCGGCTAGATCCAAAATACAAACAGTCACATGTGAAACAGAAGACAAGACATAAATATATTTTTATTTAATCCATCCTAATCTTCTCGGGATCTTAATATACTGAGTGCTCTTTTTTATGCTAATACTCTAGGGTATCTCAATATATTTTTTCTGTCTATTATCGATCCATATGATCACCAGCCTTAATCAGTGTATAATTAAAGTTTCCTCTTTATAAATATGACATCATATCCTGTAGTATGTGAAAAATGCACGTCGTGGTTTCATTGTGATCTCGATCCATCATCAATACATGTGTTAATTAACACTCAATATTTACATGTAAAGGTCTCGAAACCAGTAGCTAGATCCAAACTTGGTCAATCGTCTCTGGAACACAAAACTAGGACATGAAGAATAGTTATTTTTATCCATCCTCATCGTAGTATGTCAATATAATATGGTATAAGTCAATATAATATGGTATAATGAGTGTCCTACTATACTAATGGTATTTCAATATTTTTTGCTTCTCTCCATTGTGGATTCATGTGCTCACCCTCTCTCCAGCCCGGATAAGGATCAGCTAATAACACCACGCACTGGAGACGTGAGGAAGGCACACGCACTCACTCAGAAACTCAATACTACGGTAATAGAGCAAGCTACTGACTTAGATTGGATAGTTGGCGCGGAGAATTCACATCAGAATTGTTCAGTGCATTCATATTCGCTTTCACATATGCACATACAAACTTGATCAAACTTAATTGCATAGTCATGCATCAACTCGATCAAAACCAACACAAGTCTACAAGTCCATATGTTTTTCTTTTGCGGGGGACAAGTCCATATGTTGCTAGAGCCTTTTGCTGATTGAGCAAGGTAGGTTGCTAGAGCCTATTGCCGATTAAGCAGGGAAAATCTTTGAGATCGGCACAGACTCAAATGTTGATCTGTAACACGTCCTCCCACCACCTCATCACCTTCACGAACATCAAGACATCTGTAGAAGTGGGCATTAACTCATTTGTTTGGCAGATACGATTCCTTACGTAGCAGGTGTACGTACCTTGCCTGGTTTTTGGTTGACACATAGTCGACAAAGCCACATGTAGAGTTATGGAATCCTAGATTAACTTAATTACGAGGCATCCAGGCATGCACGCCGTGTGTAGCTCGACTCCATCAATCCATCTGATAAAAATTCATGCGTGGCAACCACGCGCTCACGCAAGACAAGAGCGCGAAACTGGAAGAGAAAACTTCTTTTATTCATCATCATTATCTTCGGCTCACGAACATAAAAGAATATATAGTGTCATTAGGGATTGGTCTGTTTTCAGGACATCATCAGCCTCCAAATGAATTAGTGCCCAAACGAGCTTGCTAGATCCAAATTTTGCCAATCTCGGCAGTGGCCAAACCAGCTATAGAGCTAGCTAGCTGAGAATAACTAAATCGTGAGCTCATACTAATACAGACGCTTCAACACGCAGTGTAAACTAGGAACATATGCAGGTACACTAACCAACTTAGATGATAGATCGAGTTTGAGACCAGGATCAAATCATCAAATGTATGCGCCATAACTTAATTACCTCTTTTCTCAAAAAAAAAAAAACTTAATTACCTCTTGACTCAAGGATGCATGTGACATAGCTTCTCGATAAAAGGCATATTTATTGACTCAAAATGTAGCATCAAGCAGGTACAAAGTATGATGAGCAACACCTGACCTCTGAATGTGCCATAGCTTAACAAATGGATCCATTGTTGATCCATCTGTTACCAATTCGTACATGTATTCTAGATTAGTACTCCAAGTTAGTTCGAGACCTAGCAAATTCCATGTGGATCACGAAACTGATAGAGCTAGGAAGATGCTCTCTATTTTCCAAGTAATGCAAAATCGATTAAAACTCTTGGTTTATTTTTGGTATTTTGGAATGCAAAAATATGCTTATATTGTCACCATCTAAGTAATGCAATAATTGCAGGACATGCGCTACTATATGGAGTAAAACTCTAGGGTAATTTGGTATTTTTATTTATCTTACTCCATTATTGATCGATGTCTTATTTCACATAAGATATTTTCTTTAATTGTTGTAGAGAGAATTGCTTGTACATCGTTTCTCATACATTGATAAATTTGGGTCACCAGGCGAAATATATTTCTTACTGCAAACCTCTATACTTTCGACCTACCAATTTTATGAGTGGGAACCATTGGCATCTGAGGGGGGGAGGGAATCATCATGAAACAGAAACGAGGGGAATAAACTACAATCTGGGTTTGGAAGGAAGGCGCCTTCGAAGAAAGAAGTGAGAAGAGAACGGTTTCACTGCTCGGATTTTTCTGAATTTATTTCAGGCCTTCTGGCGATTTGCGTTCACTGGGAAGAGACATTCCCGATGACTACGAAGGCATCGTGGCAACTTCGTCAATCTCAAGAGGATGTGCCGGCTCAATCTCTCGGAGGTGCTTATAGGAGTAGGGTGTGTGCATGCGTTCATAAAGATGAGTGTATGTGTGTGTGTGTTTGAGCGTCTGTACTGTGTTAAAAAAAGTTATTTCATGTATACAGTACGTTAATACTAAATGCTAGATCCAAAGCTAGGCAATTGCATCTAGAAAACAAAATGTAGAAGAGAAAGGAAGATGCTCCATATTCGTATCTATCCTGATCTTATCACGATCTTATAAATTTTCTTAGATGATCATGTCACGATCTCAATTAATGAAATGAGTGAGGTACTAACTGCTGATTGAAATTAAATCTAAACCAGGGCATTTCGGTCTTTTCAGCCTCTCCCTCCATTATCGGTCCACCTACCTACCCTTTCTCAATCTCCAACCCTGAAGCTATTGGTTGAGTTATAAATAACACCATCCTGGTCGTAAGGAAGACACACTCCCAGATAGCAGTGCAGTACTGATAGTAGAGCTAGGAAGGATCGATGGCCTGCAGTAGAGCAATGGTAGCCCTGATGGGGCTTGTCCTTGCCGCGCTGCTCTTCCCAGCGGCTTTGTCGTCCAGGCGGCCGGATCAGCTTATCTCCATGACCACCGATGGCCAGTACCATAGTACACGTCCAGTAGTGACCATAGCCGACGGTCTCACTGCGGACTACCATGACGTGTCGTGCCCCGATCTGCAGGGCATCGTGCGCACCGCCGTGGTAGAAGCCCTACAGGGAGATATCACCATCGCCGCTGACCTCCTCCGTATGTTCTTCCACGACTGCTTCCCGCAGGTACATTTTTTTTTGAGTCAAGCTTCCTCCGGGTAATTAAGTATCCCCTCCGTCCCAAAATTCTTGTCTTAGATTTGTCTAAATACGGATGTATCAAGTCACATTTTAGTATTAGATACATCCGTATCTAGACAAATGTAAGACAAGAATTTTGGGACGGAGGGAGTATGTAAAACATGTTTGATTCGTAGCCTAACAACATCTCAGGTCTAACTTTATGGGTTTAGTTCAATGTTACACTTGTGTCTTGCCAGATTTTCCTAGCCATGGCCATATATATATGATTCAATTCTTGCCGCACTTGTGCAGCCAATTTGTACATTACATTTTCCTTTAGCACACTTAGCTGAAGATTAGTTGTGGGAATGTTAGTCATGAACTAAACATGCTGGTAACCCTAGCTAGCTAACTAATTATTTTACACAAAACTGTGTTGTGTACATACACATAAATGTATGTATGTGTACAGGGATGCGATGCGTCGATTCTTCTGCTGGGAACTCCATGGAGTGAGATGAGAATGCCGCCGAACCTGTCTCTAGATATCAGGCGGAAAGTGGCGTTCCTCATGGAGGACATCCGCGCCAAGGTGCACGAAGCCTGTGGGCCCACCGTCTCCTGCGCCGACATCATGGCCCTTGCCACTCACGACGCCGTTATAGCGGTATGTCACTTTTGGAAGAAAAAAATACAGAGCATGTGGTTAAACTTCCTTAAGTGTTGCTACTGAATATGTAAGATTAATTGTTTTCCCTATCATCAACACGCTAAATCATATGCTTTAATGCAACTTGCAGTCGGGTGGCAAACCTTACCATGTGCCACTCGGTAGGCTCGACAGCTTCGAGCCCGCGCCGCTGAGGTTCGTCGAGGAGCTCCCGCCCCCCACCTTCAGCATTGGCCAGCTTATAGCTGCCTTCAAAAGCCGCAGCCTCGACGAGAAAGACCTCGTGGTGCTCTCTGGTGCGCATACCATTGGGAAAGCTCATTGCGCCACCTTCAGCGACCGTTTCCCCAACTCCGACTCTGATGACTTTGTCCGAAGGCTACAAGATAACTGCACCGCCGACGTGAACCGGCGTCAGGACCTTGATGTTACCACCCCGGAAAAGTTCGACAACAAGTACTACATCAACCTCAAGCAGGGGAAGGGGGTTCTTACATCCGACGTGCAACTCCTCCTCAACGAGACCACCCGAGGGTACGTGAACGACTTCGCCGACAACGAGTGGTGGTTCTGGAACCAGTTCGGCAGCTCCATGAGCAAGATGGGGATGCTCCAGGGACCTCAAGGAAACGTCGGCCGCATCCGCCAGCAGTGCTACTAGTCTCATCGTACGTCCAACCTATCGAGGTGTTTGCTGCCTGCATTCTGCTTCCTTCAGATGGGATCGTTTTTTTATATTCAAATAAGAGGAGATCACATAGTAACTATGTTGAAGACGACTGTTAATCTCCTTGTAATAAGAAATAGCAGGCTGGCTCTACCCCTTTATCACACGAAATTTACTACTCCTAGTACTTACAAACTGTACGGTAAAGCCATTTACATTCGCGTTCCATCTACAGCGCCTATCTCCACCACCCAGAGCTGCCCATGATCGAAAGATGCATGTGAGAAAGCGACATGGGCACCTGCAGCCGTGTCCTTCTCTTTCGCATGCATGTCAGGTAGTAGGTGGACCTGTTGCTAGATTCTTGCATGTCCAACATTAATCTCCAGCCCAATTACGTGAGTAATTTCCCTTATTATCTTTGATGGTGGCTGTAGACCAGCACACAAACATGATTTAAATGCCAAAATAAATAAATATCTTGTTGTTTAAATTGGTTTGAAAGAACGTACTTTAAATAATTTCAAAGGGAACCAAAGTTTGTTAAATTGGTCTCTGAACTTTGCCATGAAAAACAGAAGAAATTTTGAGAAATTTTGGCATATCTCATAACTGTTGAAAAATAGTCAAAGAACTTTATTAACTCTTCTTTTGAACTTTACCTTCAAAACTCAAAGAACTTTAGGTTTTACTGGTTTTTTTCAAAAGTTCTTCTGATTTTCATGGCAAAATTCAGACACATTCTTCATAGAGTTCTTAAGAAATTTATACTTGTGATTGGTGGTTAGTTATGCAAACCAGATAAAAATTGTTATGCATATGATAAAATTAGCAACTACAGTATTAGTATTAATCTGTTCACCCCCAAAGTAATTAGCAATGTGAGTTATGCATACAAGAGAAAAGCCACAAAACCGAGCATGGAAGGGAAAAGGGCGCAGGACATGCGGAGGAAAAGCTGACTTGCAGAATCTATAGCCTGTGGCCTCACGTTTTGAGTGGACCCACCACATTCTACCTTTGCATGCAACACAAATCCAAATGCATGAAATAGCGGCTTGGATTTCTGCTGCAAATGGAACGCGAAGGACAAAAACCGCGTCCCAAACTGTATCAGAGTTGGAGGCGGTTTGGAATCTTATTATCAAAATAGTTTTGTCAATCTGAGCTTGTTGTTTCTGTTCTATATTGCAAACTTTTTACAGGAGGTGCGGGACGCTATAGCCCGACCCCCGCGTCGCTCCCCCGGGCGCCTCGGCGGAACCTAGTTGCCGGTCGGCGCACCCCCCTCTCCTTCCCTTTCCCTCGCCGCCACCGGAGGATGCGGCCAGGCTAAGCCCGCGTCGTGCACAGCGGCGGCGGGGCGTTTCCGGCGCGGAGACGAGCATCCATGGCGGAGGGAGGTCGTGCCCTCGTCCCGCTCGGCTGCCGACTAACTGCTACGCCCCGATGGCCTTGTCCTTGGATCCGGTGGGTGGCTCCTCCAGTCCTCCTCCTGGTTCCTGTTGCTGCTTCCGGCGACGGCGCTTCCGGCTCCCGGTGTTCTGTGGCGGCCGCCTCGGCTTTCCGCCTCAGATTCTTCTGGCTTGGTTGGGATGGGGTGGCAGCCCTCCCAGCCCTGCTCGCATGCATCGTGCGGCTTGCGTGCGGGTCGCTGGCCGGGAGCGGATGCGGAGCTCCTCTGGTGGCTGCCCTGCGGTGGAAGGGTGGTGGGTCTGGCAGGTGGCCAGATCTGGCTCGCCGCGGGTGCTGCTGGTCGGCATCGACGGCAACGAGGTGCAGTGGTGGTCCCTGTACGACAATGGTGTGGTTGTTGTGCAGGGGATGTGCGGGTCAGTGGAGGTTCGAGCGTTGGAGGTGCTGGTTGGTGTCTGCCAAGTGCGTTGGAGTGAGGTTCTGCTGCTCCGGGCTAAAGTCTGGCCGGTGCCTGCCAACCGGTGGCGGCGACGCCCATGGGCATCGCTATCCTTTTTGGAGGTGCCGTCAAGGAGATCAACGAATCCTCTTCTCTCAGATCGAGTTCTTCAGGTAAAAGACAAAACCCTTGTGTAGGATCGGGTGGCGGCGGCGTCTTCCACATCGTTCTCCCTCTTGGGGGCGCCGTCTTGAAGACTTTGATCCCTCCTACACTCCCTCGGGGCTGGACGTGCATGACATCATGGTCGGTAGGTGCCTGACTAGCGATGCGGAAGTGGCATTGTGACTTGTGTGGCGACAATGATGATTCCAAGATGAGTGCGGTCGTGGCTTGCCTTCATCGTCAACCGTTTGGCATGCTCTTGAGCGTGAAGTCGGAGTTGTGGCATTGCAGGGCGATACTGCAGCAACGATGCCATGCGATGGGCAAGTCGGACACTGTCGGTGCAAGGTGTGCTCCTTTTCTCCTGCGAGGCTTGTCATCAAAGTCGGAGCTGCCTCGTCCTCGACGCCCACGGCCGATTGTTTTGTTTTGGCCAGCAGGGTTCACGGTGAAGTCGGAGTTGCCTACTCAGAGAGAGGCGATGACGATGACATTGCTAGCAACCTTTTTTAGTGAATCAGGCCCTAAGGGACCGCGTTCCAAAAAATAAAATATGAACTTGTCTAATAAACACCATGCACAAACACTTTTTTCCGACAAAGACCATCTCTGAAATTTTTCCCTTCTCAACTTGAAAATCTCAACTGTCACCAACAGGAGCCCCATTTAGATGAAGTGGTGGAGGTTCCGAGTCTGTGTATATGTGATGAAGAAAATAAAAAGTCATGGAAGTTATGGTCTATGCAGGTCCTTTGGTCTGGAATATCTCGTCTTTGATGAATGTGCCTTCTTGCCACGGGAATTCGTAGAAGTAGCATTTGCACTGAAATTTCTAGAGGTCGCATGAAGATCACATACGTTAACCTTTGACAAGGATAGTCTTTATATCTTGACAAGGATAGTCTTTATATCTTGCAACTGAAGGCTCGAAATCTTTCGTGTTCAGTATGAACGTCTTCCCATTTTGCTACTAGTATGTTTGTGGCCTTCAGGCCACAACTTGAAGGTACTCTCTCTGTCCAGAAATACTTGTCATCAAAATAGACAAAAGGGGATGTATCTAGAACTAAAATACATCTAGATACATCCCCTTTTATTCATATTGATGACAAGTATTTCTGGACGGAGGGAGTACACGACAATGGGATTAGTGAGCTGACAAACTTCAAATTTGGAGTCTGGCTCCTGGACAAATCAGCCTGCAACCGTCACTGTGGTGGTAGAGGACCAGGTCGTGACACCTTTTTGGCACAAAATTTATTGACGAAAGCCTCGTCAGTCAAGCGATGGGGTAGATGATGGATTCGTGAAGAACCTTGCAGTCCTCTTCGTCAGCCAGAAGCTCTCTCTTCGTTACACTAGGGAACAACAACGAGATACACTAAAGGCATAGATGCGGACGAGTTAACAGATAAAAGGATAACCACCCGTTATGTGCTTTGCGTCACCCTTGCCAGGTCGAGTCGTGCACTGCGGATCCTTCTCTCGGCATCAGCTCCTATGCTAGTACTCCCTCTGCCCGGAAAAGATTGTCCTAACCTTGTTTTTCAAATAGATGTATGTAGCACTAACTTGATACTAGATATATCCATTTGAGAGACAAGCTTTTTGGAACGGAGGGAGTAGTATTCTCTTTTCAGGTGTATGGAAGGAGATTTTTTTAACTAAAATGAAAAGGAGCACGGTCACTTAGCTCACATATTCATAAACCTTTTGAGATTGATCAGGTGCTTTTATTATTGTCATGAGATTTTATTTTTTATTTTTGCGGGAAAACTTTTGATCTATTGATCAGACATCATGACAGTGCGAAGAACACTAGAACTAACAGAAATTACATGTATATCCATAGACCACCTAGCGACGAAAATAAGCATTGAAACGAGCCAAATGTGTGTTGCCGTTATCATCTCTCCCCCGCTGCAGCCTAGTAAGCTTTGTTGTACTAGACAGTGGCGGTGCCTGAATCAAAACCTAGTGATGTCAAACTTGGCAAATGAAAAAAGTTGTAGCCAAATTAAGCAGGAACAACTTAAAACCTCACACAAAACAAACTTTTCTCAGAGAAACAAGATCTGAATTTCATAAGAGAAGAAAATTGAAAGAGAAAGAAGATAATATAGATCATACAAGTAAAAGCGGAATAAAAAGGGAAGGGCCTAGTGTGCTCACTGGTTGCCGGAGCTGCAGTATTGCTGAGCATCAAAGGCTGGCATGCTGACGGTGTTGATTATGGTGGCGGACGGCCTGAACGCTCGGTGTGCAGCATGTACACCGGAAGGTGAATAGGACAGAAGTTCAAGGAACAATCACGGGATTTTAGGATCTACCGATCGGGGAAGTTAATTAGGACCTCTTTTTTAAGATTCGGTTAGTTTGAACTTTCATTGCTATATGGGCCGGCCAAATATCACGCAAAGCAGATGACAAGTGGCTTGCTCTAGAACTGCCGGCGATGTGCATATGCCTATGGCAGCAGGCGCCTTCGACTAGACAAAATCATGTGTAGTCGCTTGACTACACAATGATAATGATAGTAGATAATTGGGAAGTCATAATACTAAGGCCCAAAAGGACAGCGTAGCAGAGCAACAAGCATTCTTGATGACGATAAGAATAAATTGGAAGAATCCAATCTATAAATACACGACGTAGATGAACGAATACCGAATCCATACAGATCCACTAAAGACAAACACCGAGCAAATCCCACAAGAACAGCCGGAGACAAACCTTCACATGCCCTGCTAGACGCACCGCCAGGATGAGGGCTAGGCGAAGATAACCTTATCCTATCTTCAGGGAGCCAAGGGTCGGGATCCACCTCACCTCCATGACCCTAAGGCCACAGGAAGCGAGGAAGATCAGTGCCGGTAGCGGCAAGAGGGATGGAAACCCTAGTTGCTAGAGTCGCTCGTGGGGAGTAGAAGGAAACTATCTTTCGATCAAATCTTCAATCATGACAGTAGAACGA